GATGGGAAACCTGGAGGAGCTGAGAACACAGAAATCCTCATCATCAGCACTGGCTGACACAAGGCCCAGATTCGTGCTCCAACTAAAAAGGAGCATCAGTGTGCATCTGTCTGGAAGGCGCATCCATTATGCACATGTGCTGTAAGAGAACTTACTGAACATGCGAATACACAGCACACACACACATATATCAGATTGTGTTCTGACATAGAAACAAAAATAACTATAGGAATTATGGGTAAGTAGAAATCCACAAGAACAACAACTTTAAAAATCCTGTATTATACAAACTTCCCATACACAGATCTTGAATATTGCTCAGTGGCACGGCACCTGCTTGGCAAGTGTGAGGTCCTGAGTTTGATTTAAACCCCACATATTCAACCCAAGTTTTAGCTTAATAAGTTATTCCCACTTCCCTATATAAATCTCAATTCAGTAACCCTATAGGAAACTACTTGTTTTCCAGACCAGAAATTCTGTTAGAAATTCTTTGGCATGAACCCTTTAGTACACTTAAAAATTACTGGGAACCACAAGACACTTTACATATATTATTCCATTAGCACTATATTAGAAATGCAAATAGAAATAATTTTTAAATACAAGAGTACAAAAATACACATTCTATTAACTGCTACATGATTATTACCACATATGATCTGGAAAACTCCACTGTACAGACAGAGTAACAATGGCAAATTCACTTCTTAGTATCTTAATGAAAATTCTTTTGCTGTCATATATCCTCAAAAAGCATGCTCCCACGACCATCCTGTGAGAATCACTGTTAAGTTACTTTGTTCGATTACTAACAATTCCAGACAGTCATGTTATTCAAAGTATGTATTTTAAGCAAAGCACTTACTCTCGGGCGAAACTCCTAGTGATGGGAGATCTAACTGGGGCCTGTAATTCTTCCCATTCTGGCAAAGGTTTTATTTCTAAAGGTGCTGGCTTGGCTGAAAAGAAAGAAAAAAGGAGACCTTAGTGTACAAACTTTGGTAAAGGAGATCCTCTCTATCTCAATTTATACCTGACAGATTCCATCTAAGACAAGCTAGTTTTATGCAGGAAG